GTTAGTCGAAATGGTTGCTGGCGGCCTGGATTACTCTATTCGAAAGAAATTAGACACTCAATACTTGAGGGATATGGCTCAATTAGCCGATAGGGTTCGACAGGTCGAAAGGCTAAAGACCGAAAAGGCCAGAGTCTTTAAAAATAACAAGAAGGAAAGGATCTCCTATGTTGGAACTGAGGAAGCAGAAGATTATCCTGAATTCGAATTCGAAGAGGTCGAAATCGACCTCGCTGAATTAAAACAGGCACCACCTTACTCCTGCAAATTATTAGTTCCCACAAAAGGGAAAGAGATTGTTGAAAATGAGAAAAGTGACAAATTCCCAAAGAAGGTTTATACCTTCGATGTCACTAAGTGTGACGAGATTTTTGATTTACTTATCAAAGATGGCCAACTCATTGTGCCATCAAATGTCAAAATACCTCCTTTAGATCAAAGAAAGAAAAGAGGATTTTGCAAGTATCATAGTTTCCTAGGCCACAAAACCTCACAGTGTTTTCTTTTCAGGGACCTAATTCAGAATGCAATTAAAGATGGTAGACTGAAGTTCGCTGATAAAGCGAAAATGAAAGTAGATGAAGATCCTTTGGACGTCGCAGACACCAATTACTCCGAGCCTGCATGCATTGGGGAAATTAACATGGTGGAAGCTGACCAAAATGACGCTCCAATAGGAGAGAAAGGTACTGAAAATGAAAGTTGGGTGATAGTCGAAGTCAATAAGGAGGTCACTGAAGACGTCCACAAGCAGCCAGAGACTTCGATCGAAGCAGCACCTTTAGCTGTTGCAAAAGAAATCCAGGCTACTGAAGGCCAGGAAAACCAAAACCAAGAGTTGACACAGGTTACTGAAGGCCTGAGGCTAGAATTGGAGAAAGTCCAAATCACGAAGCCAACCTCCCCTCAGAAAGAAATATGGGATACTTTAGGGGAACCCAGTGGAAAGTTTGACTACTTGGTCAGATATTCTGCCCCAGAGAGTTCAAAGGTCTAAATTGAAGATATAAAACCTACAAGATGGGGAGATGATGACACTAAGAGGGATTAAATAACAGTCATTAAGATTATTTTATAGTTTGGAGGACTAGCGGTTGTTTACCAGAAATCACTGTAAACACCAGGCTTCTTTTGAAATTTTACACAGACTTATCTCGAAGCAGCCCCACCCAGGCTCCTTCTAAAGTTTTACACGCACTTTCCCAAAGCAGCCCTACCCAGGCTCCTTCTGAAGTTTTACACAGACTTATCCCGAAGCAGCCCTACCCAGGCTCCTTCTGAAGTTTTACACGGACTTATCCCCAAGCAGCCCTACCCAGGCTCCTTCTGAAGTTTTACACAGACTTATCTCGAAGCAACCCTACCCAGGCTCCTTATGAATTTTTACACGAACTTATCCCGAAGCAACCCTACCCAGGCTCCTTCTGAAGTTTTACACAAACTTATCCCGAAGCAACCCTACCCAGGTTCCTTCTCACAATCTCCAGATGCAGTTTTACACTGACTCATCCTGAGGCAACCCTACCCAGGTTCATTCTCTTGAATTTCCAGATGCAGTTTTACACGGACTCATCCTGAAGCAACCCTACCCAGATTCCTTCTTACAATATCCAGATGCAGTTTTACACGGACCCATCCTGAGGCAACCCTACCCAGGTTCCTTCTCACAATTTCCATATGCAGTTTTACACGGACTCATCCTGAGGCAACCCTACCCAGGTTCCTTCTTACAATTTCTAGATGTAGTTTTACCCAGACTCATTCTGAAGCTGCCCTACCTAAGCTCCCTCTCATATATCTCCTAAAACATCCCTACCCAAGTTTCTTCTGATACATTTCCAGATAGAAGTTAATTTCATTCTCCCCAGCAAATTACTGCGAAGCCTGGATTTCAACCAGAAAACAACAAACTTTCATCTCTCTAATCCAGAGATAACCCCTCAGTAGAGCCATGGACAATTGAAGTTCCTAGACTTTATTCCCCACAGAGTTTTCCTCAAACAGGAAAACAACAGAAATCAACATCCCCCAGTTGACTCTTCCTCAGACAACAGGAACAGGAATCCCCATAAAGAGACTTCTTATGAAGTCATCATCTACTTTGGATGGCATCTTTAAGCCCATCTTCGACGACTCTCCGTCATATTCCTTGGATGGCATCTCTAAGCCCATCCCCGACGACTCTCTATCATCTTCTCCAAATGGCATTTGTAAGCCCATTCCCGACATCGTCAACCATCAGTGTTATGTCATGCGAGTGCAAATTTCTGGGCACTCTAGTGTTCAATTATCTTCCACCTTCAGATCACGAAAGGCAGACAAGCCAATCTACATCCTCAGGTTTAAGAAGATTTAACAGGGGAAACTGTTGTACTCCAAAATTTACCCTCTCATATTTTCCAAGGTCTTCCCCTACATGGTTGGTCACAAACCTTTGCCTAAAGAAAATGAATTTTTTTAGTAGTATTTTAAGTACCTTTCAATTGGCATGGACAATGCCCTTCGATTGGCATGTCACAAGGCCTTTCGATTGGCATTCCGAAAATGTTTAGATTGGCATTATGGCCAAGCCCTTCAATTGGCATGGACACAAGGCCTTTCGATTGGCCTCATGACAAGCCTTTCGTTTGGTATTGTGTCAAGGCCTTCGATTGACATTCTGAAAGACCCTTTCGTTTGGCACCCTGGGCCAAGCCTTTTGATTTGCATGGCAAGGGATCCTTCTATTTGGCATTGTGTCAAGGCGGCTTCGACATGCATGTTAATCGCGTCCTTCGATTTACATGGACAAGATCTTTCGATTGGCGTAACAAAGGACTCTTCGATTGGCATTTCAATAAATACCCTTCGATTGGTATTTGGACGAGGGACATTCGAAGGAACTGAATCAGAACCATTCGAAGGAAATGAATCAGAGTCATTCAAAGGAGCTCCATCAGAGCCGTTCGAAGGAGCTGAATCAAGGCCATTCGAAGGAGGCCATCAACCCATTCGAAAGAGAGCATTCGAAGGCCAGTATGTCCATATTTATGCCAAATTCAAAAATGGATAAGATCCCTTAACTTTGGACAAGGTTACATATTGGTATTCATGGCATTCAAATGACTGTTACAAACACTACTTCTCTTGTCCCCTCCCTCATACTCTATATAAGCAGCATGCTTGCAAGCAAAAAAGGAGGACGAAAAGATTAGAGATACGTTGCCCACAAACCCATCAAAGGTTGTCAAAATTTTCATAAGTAATCCAAGCCAAGGCAAAACCCTTCAACAAAAGTATCCACACCCAGAAGTCCCAGGTCGAAGGTACTCACATTCAGAAAGTTCCCAAATCGAAGGTTCCAACTACTGGTAAGAGAGGGTAAAATGTCAAACTTTGTATTTGCATAACACATCCATATTTGTTGTTTCATTCGATTTGTCATTCTAGACAGAATCAAAGGGCTTGGGTTTGACATCCAAGTCATGTTTTTTGTTTGCTAACACTTGCTGCAGATATAGCCTGAAAAGACCCAGCGCGCGCAGGATTGAAGGACCTGGGTTTCGATACCCAGGTCATGCGTTTTATTTCGCTAACATATTTTTGCAGATGTAGTGCTTTCACAGGTGATCCATCAGGCCTTTCCAGCAACACCCCTCTAAATCGAAGGCTACATCATGTCATTAGCTCGAAGAAAATAATACCCTTCACAGAATCTAAAGGCATCCATCTTCCATAATCTACCCCCTTACTCAGAAAACTCCCGAAAAGGTCTTTTTCTGTTCTTTTCACCCTTTCCTTTGTTGGATAAGAGAAAAGTCGATGGCGACTCTTGCTTACCGCAACATTTGCAAACACAAACACAAAAACCAGTATAAACAGTCAGTTATGCCACCGTATCACATCCACACATGGAAAATACAAACTTTCATGGAAAACTTGTATCGACCACAACAAAGGCCAAACATACATATCAAAAACAACGACAAGCAAAAATTAAGCAAGCATCAGCAAAAACATAAAGACATTAAAGCAAAGTAAAGCATTTATAAATGTTGACCGCTAGAGTCGACGATGTCTGAATGTCACAAAAAAATTATGGGCACACATGCCCAAATACAAATAGCTAAGTTATCTAAAAATGCTAATCACTCCTCGGAGTGTCTACTTCGACCTCGGGAGAGTCAGGAGGAGGAACCACCCAGCCATCAATCACTTGGGGCAGAACCCCGATTTCTTTGGTATTGAGCCCCGGGTTCAACATAGATAATTGGTTCACAACAGCCTCGAAGCCTTCGGCCAAAGCAACTATGCAGTACGACTCGAGGATTTGAATCTGAGCATCGAAATCGGTGCGAGTGCGCAAATCAGTTACCCCATCGGGTTCGCCGTCCACGGGTATCATGGCAACCTTCAAGTCAGCGACTTCCCTCTCCAGCCGTTCCCTTTCGCTCTCTCACAGTTCTTTGTCGAGAAGGAGACAATCCTTTCCTTGAGGGTTTTTTCAGCTCTTTCTTTCTCCCTCGCCAGCGTATTGGCCTGCTCCCGAAACATATTCTCGCTTTGTTCGAGGGCGGTCCTTAATTTCTGTGTCTTCACCTGAAGAGTCGCTTTCTCTGACTCTAATTACTTGACCCGACTAGAAGAGTTGGCCCCTTCGCCCGCAAGGACCACAACCATCTCCACCACCTTCATCTGTCCACCATACCAGAAGCCATATGCTTCCTTCGACCCTCTTCGTCGAGTCGCCTGATGATGTCGGACTCATTGTCAGACACAGTCAGAGGGAAGCCCTAGAAGAAATCATTCTCCATAAAACATGGAGGTAGACTGAAGGCTCAGGAAGTCGCCCCTCCCTCAGTCACATCAGCGAACCCACCTTCTAGGAGACTCATTTTCTTGCTCAGCACACCAACATGTTGCTCAGTGTCGCGGGTGCATGACGACCCACTTGATCCCTCCTTTATCGGTTTGGAAACCGAACCCATGCGTTTAGTCCGGTGCGACTTCGCCAACCTGTTATGGCTTTTTTTCTCTTGGGTCAGTTTCAACAATCTCTCACGGTGCCCAACCCAATTATGTCGGTCAAGACATGCTGGCAGTTCTTCCCTCGACTGCGTCGGGCAGCAACTTCCACTCTCCGCAAGGAGGCAGCCTCACCACACGAGGATAAACCCAGTTAGTCTTAGGAGGATCATTGTCGGCCAGGAGGACCTCGAGGTCACCCTTCGATCCTCTCCTCGATCAAGACTGATCCTCCTACACGACCTCGCGTTTGACGGAGAGCATCCACGACGAGCAAAAGCACCTCACGAGCATCCTCCTTGTAGGGCTAACTATCAACGTCTCTGAATATCACAGAGTCTTCGTCGCCCCGGAAAGACTGCATCCATATCCTCCTGATCATGCGGAGAAAGTCATCTAGGTGGGGGACCACGTGCTGGTTCCCACTACTCACGTAGGACCTGACAATCTCCACTTTGGGTCTGCTTGACCAGCCCAATGGGGAGACCTTAGCCAAGCGCTGAAGGCTATCAATACGCTCTCTCTTGAGAGGGTCAAGTATTGAACATTTCTCACTCTCTTACTTGCTTGCACCATTCGGTATCTCATTTTGACATCAGAGTGTCTTGCAGGTACCCCCACCTCACTCTCAAGTTCTACTCGACGTAAGTTGTGACGATCCATTTTGATCAAGTACGATAAAAAACGATAATAAAATATTTAATTTTATGGATTACTTTCAATATACGCATTTTATTTTAATCAATAACTTTTATTTAAAAGTTAAAATCTTTATTTTTAAATTTCAATTTTTTTCTTTCTTTCTCTATCTTATTAAACCGTATCAAATAAATTCTGAGGTATTTTAGTTACACATTCAAATCAAACAACAGAACTGCACGTGCACATCCCACACCCGCTTTTATCATTCTTTTTGATTGGTCGCTTTTATAATCATTTTCTTTATAGGATATTCATAATCATAATCATAATTACAATAATAATAATACTAATAAATAATAATAATAATAATTCATTGACTCTGTTCCATTTTATTTTTATTTTTAATTAGTACATTTTTTCTTGTTCCGTGTTTTATTTTCTGTTTAACCATTTCAGGAACAAATCTCTCTCCTTTTTCCTCATCTATTCCTTCTGATTTCCCAATTTTTCTCTTTTTCTTCTCCGCGCTTTGGTTTTTCCAGATTCCATTTTCAAATTCGCCGCTCTTCAAGGTTCAATTTGGTGTATTGTTTTATATATTTAGGGTTAGGGTTTTGTTCGTGCAAATTTAATTGGGAGTTTTTTTTTGTTACGGTGAAAAATGGGTAGTTTCTATTTATGATTTTTTATTCAAATAAAACATCAAAATCTGAGCTTTTTTTTTTCTTCTTTCTTTTCTGTGTTTTTTTTTTCTTCTCAGTGGAATTTTTATTTGGGATGGACTATTTTTTCTTCTTCTTGTTGTTACTACTTGTGTTTTGGGCTTCATAGTGCATTGAATTGGTGGAAAGTGAACAAGCTGTATTACTCTGATGAAGTGTGGTGATTGTAAGGTATTGTGAGTGTAGCATTCTGAATTGGAGGTGGAATTTTTGGTTAGATCATGGATCCTGTAAGAGGTGTGGGTAGTGTTGTGGGGACTGTGCTGATTCCCATGCGATTTGTGTGGCCATATGGTGGAAGGAGTGTTTTTCTCAGTGGTTCTTTCAAAAGGTGTGTATTTTATTGATTCATGCATGCACTTAAATTATATAATAAAATTCTCTAGTTTACTTTGGCTTCTCTCTGTCTAATGTGAAATCATAAACTTTGTTTGAAAGGTGGTCTGAGCTTTTGCCAATGTCTCCGATGGAAGGTTGCCCAACAGTGTTTCAAGTTATTTATAGATTGCCCCCTGGTTACCATCAGGTCAGTTTATGATAATAGCACCGACTTAGTTTTTTTATTTTTATTTGTGTGAATATTAAAAACTATATCATTTATAGTTTTATGTGAAATGTGGTTGATATGGAAGTGCAACGGGCAGATGTCTATGTAGTTAGTCTCAGCAGCAGCGCCAGACCATAAAACTGCTTTTAGAATTTTGATTAGACCTAACTCAACCATTAAAAAACCGGCTTGTAAGTTTAGGTATGTTTTCCACTTATGAATTCATTTTCTGGCTAACGCTGTGTAGCCGGATAACATGATAGCCATTATTTCAAAGAATAAAAAATGACATACAAGCCAAACATAAATCCCAATAGTATACATAAATTCTCAATAAAAGCCCAACTTACCAAATAAACTGAGTAATCAATAATCATACTTATTAATTATAATGAACTCTTGTCATTTGTCACTAATATTAAAATCACAACCCAACTACTAATTAAAGTAATCAAAATAACATCATATGTTTAAGTTGCAGCTTTTAGTCTCTGTCTCCACAACCTTTGTCGGAAAGAACGGTCTTGTCGTTCCTAGGTGTTTCTGCAGAGAACAAATAAAAAGGGAGGGTGGTGGTGTGGCTTTGCGTGTTTAACAAAGAGGTTTGAGTATCTTTGTGAATGAGAGTGGGAAGAAGCATGGTCACTTATACCAATAAAACAGAGACAAAAAACATTAAAAAAGATGAATGAATATAAGAAGGGGGGTAAATAGGAACTTTCAAACCCTTTCCCTAGTTGTGGATGCAACAGCTCTATTCAACAACATTTTTCTGCTATTTGCAGCCACAACTATTGCACCTGCTAGACGCCGGTAGCCTGCAAAATGCATCGTAGACCTGATTCCACTTTGCAAACCCGCAATTGCCCTGCTATTGATCACATATGTTGAGGTTATTTACAGAAGTTTAAAATCCTAATTCCTGTTTCGATTTTCAAGACTGTTTTGATTTGAAGTGTTATTTTGTCTTCTCAATGAGTGTTATCCAAGTTTGAGCGGTAAATACTGCTCATGTTTGAGATTGCAAGTTTCTCATTATTGAGAAAATCTCAAAGTCTCACACTGGTTAGAGATAGAGCTAATAGAGAAAGATAAACTGAACATAGAGAGAGAATAATAGTTTGTTATTGATTCAATAGAAACTCTCTTAGATGAGTTTGTTACAATTAGATTGTTATATAGAGGCTGCAGTGACAGCTGTCATTGCCAGCTCATCAAGCTAAGCTAACTGTAGAATATATCTATTACAAACTACAATCAACTATTATAAACAAACAACTATATGATTACTCTATTATTTCCCCTTCAAATGGTGCTTCCTGTCTTGGGATGCCCATTGGCAATAGAAGGCTTGTCAACAACCCTTAAGTGATCTCTGAGAGCAAGAAATCTGAGGGCAGAAAGGGGTTTGGTTAGGATATCAGCACTTTGAAACTCAACAGGAATATGCTTTACACAAAAGGTTTCATTTAAAACCTTTTCTCTGATAAAGAAGATATCAAGCTCCATGTGTTTGGTTTTGGCATGAAGCACAGAGTTATGAGATAGAGATACAGTACTTAAGTTATCACAGTAGAGAGTTGGAGGCAAAGATGAAATCTGCAACTCAGTTAGGAGGGACTGTACCCAAAGCACTTCAGAAGCAGTGCTAGCCAGGCTTCTGTATTCAGCTTCAGTGCTGGATCTGGCTACAAGTGTCTGCTTTTTAGACCACCAGGAAATGAGATTAGGGCCTAGATAAATGCATGAACTTGATGTAGATTTCTTGTCATCAGGATCTGATCCCCAGTCAGCATCAGAAAAAGCAGTAATTGGCAAAGGTTTGACGGGATTTGCAGGAAGAAACTGCAGACCTTGATGAATGGTGCCTCTTGAGATATCTTAGAATTCTCTTAACAGCCACCCAGTGACTCGGCATAGGCTGAGATAGAAACTGACAAGCTTTGTTGACAGAAAAGCGAATTTCAGGTCTTGTGATGGTAGCATACTGCAGTGCTACAACCACAGACCTATAATAAGTGGGGTCTGGCAAATAGTCTGATCCTTGCTTGGTCAGTTTCAGATTAGACACCATAGGAGTAGGCAAACTTTTAGCTTCACTCATGTTAGTCTTAACCAAGAGATCCTTGATGTACTTAGTTTGAGATAGGAAGCGAGTGCCATTAGAGAGTTGAGTGACTTCAATACTAAGAAAATGATGAAGAGAACCCAACAGTTTAAGAGAAAATTGAGCATGTAATTGATTCACCAGCTTTTGGATATGAGTGGAAGAGTTGCCTGTGACAATTATATCATCTACATACACTAACATAAAAATGGTGTATGAGGAGGTTATCAAAGTAAACAGAGAGGGGTCACTTTTACTGGTGACAAAGCCAAGACTGTGAAGAGCTGAGGTCAGTCTCTCAAACCAGGCCCTAAAGGCTTGTTTTAAGCCATAGATAGCCTTGTTTAGCTTAAAACAAGGGTAGGATCTGAGTTGACGAACCCAGGGGGCTGCTGCATATAGACTTCTTCAGTCAAAATACCATTTAAAAAGGCATTGTTAACATCCAATTGAGTGATCTGCCACTGGTTGGAAATAGCTAGAGTTAAAATAACTCTAACTGTGACTGGTTTGACTACAAGAGAGAATGTCTCCTGAAAATCAAAGCCATGAACCTGATGAAACCCCTTGGCCACTAACCTGGCCTTGTATTTCTGAATGGTGCCATCAGGATTCTGCTTTATCCTGAAGACCCATCTGCACCCAATAGCTTTCCTGTTGGGAGGTAAAGTGGTAAGAGAGGTAAAGTGGTAAGAGTCCAAGTCTGATTCTGCAGAAGAGCTGTGTGCTTAACTTTCATGGCTTCAAGCCATTTGGGATCCTTGAGAGCAGTTTTATAGGATGTAGGTTCAAACTCAATGAGTAAAAGAGTAGGATGGAGTCTAGGTTTTACAATGCCATCCTTGGCACGAGTGAGCATACAGTGAACATTAAAAGGATGAACAGGAATGATGGGAGAAGCAAATACATTAGCAGAGGAGGCAGCATGAAATGAGGATGCAGTAGAAGATGAAAAATTGTTGGAGTGATCAGGAGAAGAATGCAGAGTGTTAGACATCTGTTGTGGTGATCCTGAAGTAGAAAGAGAAGCAGGTGATTCCTGGACAGATGCAGAAGCAGGAAAGCTAACTGCAGGGGAAGTGAGTGCAGGAGAAGCAGGTGTAGAGGAAGATGGGATAAGTGTTAGGTTTTGAGATGGCTGGGAAAAACATAAGGGAACAGGCACAAAAATAGGTTGGGAACAAGGACTTAATGCAGATTTAGTAGGGAACATATCCAAATAAGGATATCTTATCTCATTGAATATTACATCCTTTGAGATAAAGAGTCTACCATCAGCAGCCAAGCATTTGTATCCCTTATGTTGAGCAGAATACCCTAAAAATAAGCACTCCTTAGTATGATAAGCAAACTTATTAGAGTTATAGGGTCTGAGGTGTGGATAACAGGCACACCCAAAGATTTTAAGAAAGCTGTAGTCAGGTTCAGTCTGATACAGAACTTTGTAGGTAGAATCCATACCCAAAACAGAAGTTGGCATCCTGTTAATAAGATAAGTTGCTGCCAGGAATGCATGATCCCAAAATTTTAAGGGAAGGGATGCATGAGCAAGCAAGGTGAGACCAGTTTCCACCACATGCCTGTGTTTTCTTTCAACAGACCCATTTTGATGGTGTGTGTGAGGGCATGGGAGCCTGTGTATGGTGCCCTGTTTAGTGAGTAAAGGTGTGAGGGGCTAAAATTCACCTCCTCCATCAGTTTGCACTATCTTGACAGTGCAATTGGACTGAGTATGGATATATGCCAAAAAATTAGTAAAAACTGAAACTACATCAAATTTCAGTTTGAGTAGAAAGATCCATGTGAATTTAGTGTGTGCATCAACACATGTTAGCATATATTTGAAACCAGTAGTAGACAACATGTGCAGGCCCCCACACATCAGCAAAAATAAGATCAAAGGGAGCATTATAAATGGTAGTGGAAGCAGTAGATGGTAACCTGTGTACCTTACCCAAACAGCATGCAACACAAAAACCAAACTTAGATTGCTGAGGAATAGGAAGGTTACACTTGTTTAAAACAGACATAAGGACGTCATGATGAGGATGTCCTAGTCTTCTATGCCATTGCTCATACAATGAAGGCCCTAAACAATTGGCACCTTTATTTGAGCTAGAATTGAAAGTACTGGAATGAGAATTATTGCTAGTGAGTGTGTGAGCAACAGGTGCATTATTTCTAGCAAAGGGAGAAGATAAAGCCTGTAGAGATCCAAATGAGTAGAGTCCATCTTTTTCAAGAGCACCTTGAAGCACAACTTCAGAAGTAGCCTGAGATTTCACAAGGCAAGTATCAGGGTGAAATTCAAAATAAACTTGATTATCCCTGGCAAACTGGCTAACAAAGATGAGATTGAAAAGAAGTGTTACCAATAGAGGTAATAGACAGACCTTGACCATTGCCAAGAATCATTTGGTCAGATCCAGAGGTGGAAATGCTGTCTAGAAAATTCTCTGCAGAGTGAGTGACATGATGAGTGGCTCCTGAATCTGGATACCAAGATGTTG